GGTTTGGACCCACATGACGTGGGTAAAAAAACGGAATTTAAATTTTTGGGTGAACTCTCCATTTCACACTCTTTTACTTCTATACAAATTCAAGCACTTCATCAATACCTCTGGATGAATGGAGTCCCTGAAGTCCACTTCACTGTCCTGACTCTCTCTCAGCCCTCCGCTGAACATTGCTTCAAAGTAGCGGCTGCAGGCGGCCAGCACAGCCCGGTGGCACGGGAAAGAGCGGTTTCCTGCATGGAGCAGAACATCGGTGAAGAGTCTCTGCTGACGAAGAGCATTTAGGTGCATTAGCACGCTGTCGGCATATGAGGACTTGTGGAACAGGTAGATGTTCATAGAGCCCGTGCTGGCACGAGACTTGCGGTTCTCGTGGACACAGACCGACATTTTCATTGAATCCTGCAAAAAAAAAAAAAAGAGAAAAATTGTTCTGTAGACAAAAGACGCAATAATAAAAACAGATCACAAATAATCTTTTACAGGGAATGTGTGCTAACCTTTTTAGACAATTAACACAGGGCGGTGGCACGGGAAAGAGCGGTTTCCTGCATGGAGCAGAACATCGGTGAAGAGTCTCTGCTGACGAAGAGCATTTAGGTGCATTAGCACGCTGTCGGCATATGAGGACTTGTGGAACAGGTAGATGTTCATAGAGCCCGTGCTGGCACGAGACTTGCGGTTCTCGTGGACACAGACCGACATTTTCATTGAATCCTGCAAAAAAAAAAAAAAGAGAGAAAAATTGTTCTGTAGACAAAAGACGCAATAATAAAAACAGATCACAAATAATCTTTTACAGGGAATGTGTGCTAACCTTTTTAGACAATTAAAATTCACACTAAAGTTGAAAGAAAACATTAAAGATTTTAATAGCATATGTGTGCCCTAGTGAGAGCTGGCATGTGGCTGAATAGCCTCTGTTGTTTGTTGCAGGAGTTGACTGACATTGTTTTGAACAGTGATATGATCAGTATCAGCAAAACACACAAAGAGCATGCCAAACCTCCATATGAAGGCAGAGAAGATGTAATTCTGCAAACACAACATAAAAAACCACTGGAAGCCTCTCTGATGCCTAGCCGCCTGGAATGTGAACAAATGCAAGAGAGTCTAATCACTACCAGGTGTTCAAAGGCGGACGGATAAGGAGGGGGAAACTGAAGAAAAAAAAAAAAAAACTTTCAGAAGTAAACACCCCTGCCTGAAATTCACTGAGGAAAACCGAACAAAGAGTTGAGAACCAGGCACAGAGTCAACAGTAAGTGTGTCAATGTCACTGGCTGCCATCTGGTATGGTGCACATTCAAATCCAATCAGTCTGAATTTCCATGTAACCGATACACACCCCCTGCATGGTCCCTGCCGGCTGTCAACATCCCTCCGGGGAGAATTTAATTGTGTTTCCGCTAATGTTGTGCAGAGTCAAAATGTAGTTCTGAACTGGGCTAAATACATTAAGGACACAGAAGCAATGGTGATGCATCACACCTGATACAGTCCAATAATCCATTTAAATTGGCCACAGCTGTGAAGTACAAGAGCCAGAAACCCTGTGCTGACATTGGCCATTAATTATTTTGCAACAGAGCATTGAAAAATAGCAATGTTATGCGAATGACTGTATGCATAAATCATAAACAATCAGTTAATAGCTTACAATAAAAATAAACAGAGTGTAGTGACAATTTGCAATCATACCTTATAACAAGTAGGCTCTATAAAAAAGTGCTTTTCAAACACCATTTATTTCTATGCCAACAGATGTTACAGAACTCTAATTTTGAATGATGACAGATCAACATTCTCATGACAATGTCATAGGCGCACTGACATAACTTGCACACACCACTATTTTGATAAATATTTATATAATTAAAATTGTATGAAAAAAATTTATGACAACAATAATTATTATTTTTTGCTTTAAATGTGTATTATAATTATTATTTTTAATGTCTAAAAATATTTTTACATTCGAATATAAACATAGCTTTAATGTGAAATATCCAATGAAACATGTCCTAGAAAACATAGGGTAACTAAAGAAAGACCGTGCATTTACATTTATTAAAACATAGACCGTATGTATTACCTGTTCAGGAGCAATGAGGACTTCAGTTCCTTCTGCTTTGGCCCACAAACATGCCACAACGCGACGCGTACAGAGTCACAATACTGGCGGCGCTGGACGCTCTGGCAACAGCGTCCGATGTCGCGTGGACAAACCACAAAATAAACAAATGAAGAGTAATTGAATCCACTTGCTTTTAACGTTAGCAACAAGCCTAGAAATACAGTTTACTCTATTTTTGCTGAGTTGCACAGAAAACTACACGAGTTCCTCTATCTATGTGACTACGGTGCACAAATACATTCGCTCGTATCGTCCGTCATACAGCAGCTCCGCCGCTGCGCGTGCAGGTCTCAACAGCAATAGTGAACAGCTGACGGGTGTGAACAGCCTTTAGAGGAGGAGGAAAGAGAGGCGGAGCGCTGCTGCTGTTTAGGAGATTGTGGGAGGAGATAAGACTGATGAACAGGCGTGAAAAGAGATAAGGAGATTGTGGTGGGGCTCATTAATAGAGTAATAAGGGCCTTTTATTAGGCTGCCTGCATATCACCAAGGGATTTGTGTGTATGAAAGTGTTGAAAGTCTCTGTATACACTGTATACTTTGTATATGACTGACCTTTTAGGAAGCGCTGCTTTAAGAGTCATCCTACTCAACAGCAACTTCAGTGGCAATGCTGTGCATTCAAGTGAAAGTCATTTTAATAATTTAGCCTATAAATTGTACTTCGAGTCCAGCCTAAACTTCGTTCCTCATTATTTGAGATGCACTACCATGCACACGTTGGTTAGAATGTTCAGAGCTAGTATTGAATTTGAATTCACGGAACAATGTCGCCCCCTGCTGAACAAAAGTTGTCTGCATCATACCTGTAAATGCCCTTGAAGTTGATTTAAATTTCTTCATTTTGAATAAAAAAGCCACGATTTTCCTTGGGTGTTGTGCAGTAATGTGGTAGACTAAAGTATGTGGCTATTGTGGCCCTGGTATGCTTCTTTTCTAAATCTGTGGAGCTATAAAATGTATGTGGACTATACCGTCTGTTGTCGGGCTCCGTGTGCATACAAAAATTTCAAAAAATCTCATCCATTATTTCAATGAATGGCAAAATGAATGTTCTGAAATGTAAACTGATAGTCTAATGTCACTGTCTGTGAGATATGGTTCTTTGCATTAGCATGGAACACAAGTAAGCGCAACCTAGTGGACGCCACACACACGTCTGGTGCACTATCCTTGTAGGGACTCCCCATAGGCGAAATGGTTTTTATACTGTACAAACTGTATTTTCTATTGCCCCACACCAACCATACACCTAAACCGATCCCTCAGAAAACTTTGTGCATTTTTACAATCTCAAAAAAAAACTATGATTTATAAGCTTTTGTACCCATGGGGACCTTAATTTAGGTCCCCACGGTGACACAAGTCCCCATGAGTTGGTGTGTAATCAGGTTTAAGTCACCCCCAGTGTAGAAAAAACTGTACACACACACCAGTCAGTAGCTCTGTAACTGGTCTGATCCGACGAGTTTGAAAATCGTGCAGTGTGAACTCGGCATTACGTGACCTGACAGAACTAATGCTACGCTTGATATTTAGCTGTAGAAATCATTGGCTCCAATGTTCTATACGATCTACTTAACCTTCTGATGTTTCTAACCCAGCTCTGGGTAGACTTGATATAATTTACAGCATTCAGTGTAGCTCTTCTCGTAATTCTTAAAAAGGGACAGTTCACTTGAATATTAAAATTCAGTCATTTCCTCACCCTGGTGTTTCTGTAATGTGCCCTTTCTTTCTTTGTCGAACAAGACCAAGCAAGACATTTTAATTTCTCCTTTTGTGGTCTAAAAAAGTATAGAATGACTGAATTTGAGTATGAGGTATGAGGCGTTTCAAATTTTATGGGTGTTTTCACCTGCAGGGCTTTAAAATAGTAGCCTATACACTATTTGTGCTGATTTTGTGCTACTCATTTTCTTTTTATTGTAATTTCACATTAGAAAATAGTACATCGGTTATATCTAGTTTTTCACAACAACAACAACAACATATAATAATGCTTTGCAAAAAGTAGGGGGACTACACAGTAGGCTACTATTACAATTATAATTACAATATACAATATTACATAGTAGGGGAGAGCATAACTACATTATATTTCATTAATTTTACACCAAACATAATTTTGTTCTTTGTTTTGAACTCGATTTTGTTCAGTAAATTTTAAATAGGCCTTGTTTATGAAAACTGGCCATTGAAGGTTTTATGAAATTGTATTTCCCAGCAACATTTATAAGTGGGATGTTGAGTAGCCTACTTTTTGCCCATTTCTGTAAGGTCAGTTGCAGTCTGTTTTTTTTCTTTTTAAATTCTTCAATTTGAACTTTTTGTTCTGAAATGTTTAAGTAATTAAAAAAAAAAAAACGCCTTCAGAGTTGTGAACTATATCTTTAAATAAAACTTTTAAGTCACCCATCCATCCATTCTATTATCCAAACCTATATGTCCTTATTACGGTCGTGGGGAGCGGGATCCTAACCCAGCATCAGCTCACCTTGAGCCACAGGTGAGGAAACTCCCAGGATGAACGGCCAGTCCATCACAAGGAAAACACAGATTTTAAGAAGTCATATTTTATATTGAAATTTTCTTCCTTTGATATAGCCTAGCATGAGGTGAAAATGTTCAGTTTTACTTCAGTATAATCAGTGGCACAGTTTAACTCCATGTGGCTCAACCTACCCTCTCCCTAGGCTCAATTTACCCCCCACTGGGGGCAAGTTGGAAAAGCCATATTTTGAAAGCAGTTTATTTTAGACCCAAAGTGATTATTCCCAAGGATGCACCACATCCTGAAATTTATGTAGGGCCTGTCATGTGCTCGCTTTAAACACGGCGTAAATAAAAACTGGCTCAACTCACCCTGCTCGCTCGCCCCTAGTATTCCAGAAATATGGCTTTTGCTATTTTAATGTTTTTATTACGTGATATGTTTGAAATATATGCAGTCTGCTCCCTGTTATGATCGTAAGACTGTGTTGAAACCTGAAACAATTGTTCAGCTCATATCGCCTAAGCCATTTGTTTTGCAAGTTATCTAGGGATTGACCTTCACTGTCCTCGGGACAAATCAACAGATAAAGGGATGAGGTTTTGTAATCACAATCTGTGCAATTCACTTAAGACTTCGAGGGGGTGTGGCGGCTCGGTAGGTCCCATGACTTGAGTTGAGGTAAACACCGCCCCACAGTTCAGAGCACATTCACACTCCTCCGTTCGGACTAGAAGCAGAAGTCAGCTGACCGCAGCTCAACACAGCCATGTACTGTCTGGTCAAATTTGCGCCGCTGTTTTTGGCGGTAGCCGTCTGCAATGGGTGGCTCTTCGGCGACTTTGTAGGAAAACTAAAAGAGCTGGATGAAATCTCTCTCTGGCCGCTACCGCAGAAATTTCAGTCGTCCGCCGTCGCTTTTAAACTCAGCCCCGCCAGGTTTCAGATCGTCCAAGCGAAACAGTCCTCCACCGGACCGAGCTGCAGCATACTCGAGAATGCGTTTCGCAGGTACTAACTGCACAATCCCTTATTCATATTTATGCCGGCATTGTGTTATAAAAGAGGCTAACGTTTAGCTTTAACAGGAAGTACAGTGTCGGTACAGTATGCACTGTGTGCTCCGTGTCATATAGTAAACAGAATCCACTTGGCTTCAATTGACTTTTGCTTTGCAGATATTTTGAATACATATTTGGCGACCTGAAGAAGCCCGAGAAGAGCCGAAAGAAAGTGTATGATTCAGATCTCGTGGAGCTTCAGGTATGGGTAACATCACCTGATCCGGAGTGCGACGGTTTCCCGAGTCTGCAAACCGACGAGTCATGTGAGCTTTTTCCCTTCCGCCTTTGTGATCCGCAGCGCTGTAACCTCAATGATCTCTAATCCAATGAACGATCGGCAAATCCAATAATTGACATCTGCCTCTCGGAGCGGATGTGTAATCGGGTTAACGTATTAACGTGATTCTAGAGCTCTTTTTTAGATGTAGTAACATCTGACTCATGCTAAGTAATTTGCAAAGAGTTTTCTACTTAATATTTCATAGAAACTGCATTATGAAAGTCAGTCACTTCTAGCTTCTTCAATCAGATGTATTGAGATAAAACTCAAACTGTGTGGAGTTGAGCCTGTGAATTCTTTGGTTGTGTGTGAATTGTGTAAAGTTTTGCTCTCTTTGTGTAGATGAGCTGTCCGTTGATGAACCCTCTGCTGTGCTGAAAGCTGCTAATGTATGGGGAGCTTTGCGAGGTAAGCGAATGTAAAGGCAGTAAACAAGCTCACATTTATATTTCCCTTTTGAACATGCACTACCATTCAAAAGTCTATTGTAATATATTTAAAAATAATTTAAAAAAAAAAGTAAAATAAAAACAGCTATTTTAAATTAGAACAATATTTCACAATGTTACTGTTTTTACTGTATTAGATAGAAACTGTCCTTTCCTAAGAATGTAGAGTGTTGTTTCAAAGCTGGATTTTGTGTTATCCTGCCTTAAGAGAAGCGATTGCAGTATTTATCATGTCCATATACTGTAACATGCTGTCGTAACTCATGATTTCATTAATGTGTAACATCCTCATATTGTTGTAAGGACTGGAAACATTCAGCCAGCTGGTCTATGAGGATGACTATGGAGTCGTAAGTTTGAAACAGACCCTTACTTTGATTGTTGTACTTGATTAAGGCTTTAAATGTTAATACATTCCATCAATGTATCTATTTAAGCTCTTCTAAAATCAAAACATCTATTTTTTCTTCTCAACAGAACAACATCAATAAGACAGACATCTCAGATTTCCCACGGTTTGCCCATCGGGGGATCCTCCTGGACTCGTCTCGCCACTTCCTGCCACTCAAAGTCATTTTGGCCAATTTGGTGAGCTGAAATCATTTGTTTTATAACGACAGGCTTTACTAAAACACATGCATAGGTCTAGAGTGGCATTTTTATATTGGAAAATAGGCCATGATTAATTGATTAATTTTTTTCATTAATGCTCAGTTTCCTTATTAGAAGACTTGTGTCAGCTAAATAGCTCAAGGAACTTATTTTACTTATGAGACTGGAAAGTCAAGTTTGTTATGTTCGTAGATGACAGTAATCACAAGACAAAATTACGCTCATCACAAGGTTTGTCTGGAAAAAATTGCAGTCAGTGAACAGTGGTGATATAAAGTTTTGACCTAGAATTAAACTCGAGTCACATGATCATAACAGTGGACATATGTGCAAGGACCTTCCAAGGTTTTTTGTTGTTGTTGTTGTTGGTTTTGAAATGCTTCTTATCCCACAGCGTTCAGTAATAAAATGTCTAATTTTGACAGGAAGCTATGGCGATGAACAAGTTTAATGTATTTCACTGGCACATTGTGGACGATCATTCGTTTCCTTACATGAGCCGTACCTTCCCCGAGTTAAGTCAAAAGGTGAGTATGTGATGCACTTGACTTTGTTTTAGATTCAAGCTATTCAGAACATGGTTGTTAGTGGATTACCATGCTAGAATTATATTATCACTAAGGGTGATGGCCAACGTCATGTAAACAGGAGAACACAAGTAGGCGTATCAAGCTATAATTACACTGCAACAAATTGCAGGTTTTTTGAAAGGCTTGCTTTTAAAAATAGTTCCTTTTTCTCATATATTCTTTTGTATTTGCTACATTGGAAGCGAAAGGTAAGGGATAAAGTTTTACCACAAAATGATGATACTGCTGTGCTGTAGGACATGTCAGTTCTTGTGTCATTTCCTTTAGTGTAGAAATTTCACCTCTAAACCAAAGAATTAGGTCATAGAACTCAACTGCCACTTCTGAAATCTAACTGGGAAAGTGTTTATCATTGTGTATTGATCATGTTTTTCCTATTTGTTTTGTGATTGACAGGGAGCCTATCACCCATTCACGCATGTGTACACTCCATCTGACGTGAAGATGGTCATCGAGTTCGCTCGTATGAGGGGGATCCGCGTCATCCCTGAGTTTGACACCCCAGGACACACAGAGTCATGGGGCAATGGTCAGTTGGTGGACTTGCTACATGACAGCTTTATATAGATTGTTTTGTTTAGTCATATTTAAGGCTGGAATACACTGCACAACCTTTTTAAAATACTAGGCGTCATGCACTACTGATGACATTGTCAAAACAAACACACAACAAACTCACACAGAAACGTGCCTTATTGCTAGGAGACAAATATAAAGTCGTCATGTAGTGTATTCTAGCCTTAAGTCATGTTTTGTTGGTTTCAGCAGTTCACATTTAAACTGCAGTTACTGATTAATGTGACATATGTTTTCTCTCTCTGTCGCTCTCAATGTGTTCGTGTTTGTGTGTGCTGTCTGCGTCACTCATAGCACGTGCCTATATCGTGTGCTATATCGAAAATTTTTTCTATCGTATCGAAGAAGGTGTACATCGATAAATATCGATACCGTTTTATCGCCCAGGCCTAGTTGCTGGTAAGAAAAAAGGAGCTAAAAAATTGATAAAAAAAAAAAAAGTAAATAACTGTAACCGTCACTCAGGACACTGAGTGTCTAAACAGAATGAAAAAAAAAGTTTGATTCTAACTGAAAATGACAGCCTACTGTGTAAGGGCATGTATTGTTTCTCTTTCTCTATTTGCTTTAGTTAAGACCATGCTTTCATTCCACTTATCGTTCCTGTAGGGAGTCCAATCCTGATATTCAGAAGTTTATGGTGCAGCAGGGCTTTGGCACAGACTACAGCAAACTGGAGTCTTTCTACATTCAAAGGTAAGAGCTTGAATATAGTCAGGAAATACATTTATTGTGGTCTTATAGTATACATTACAGATGATTATGATAGTTTGCTTATTTGTTTTTTCCCAGAAGAATGTAACTGTAAATGAAAATATTAATCAGAACACAATCTGTCATTTTGTATTATTCATCTTTGGAAAATAGGTTACTTGATATTGTGGCTGCTACCAAGAAAGGCTACATGGTGTGGCAGGAAGTGTTTGATAATGGAGTGAAGGTAAGGCTGAGCTCTTATCTGTGCTGATGGGAAGTAATGTAAATCCATAAATGTTATATTACAGTCATAATGTTAATTTCTAAGCTACCACCTTTTAAACACGAATTAAGACACAATTTTGCAGGGCCAAAATGCTTTGTGACTTCAAATCAAAGCCTCATCTACTTTACTGTAACCTTCTTAATCACAAATAGCTTGACTTGCATGCTCGCCTTTTCACAAGCCACTGCTAACACGCCACTAAATTGCCATAACAATATAACAGCCAAAACAAAAAAACACATTGATTAGGGCACATACAGTAATGTGCTTTATGCATGTTCCAGCTGAAGGATGACACCGTGGTGGAGGTGTGGATGGGGAACAAGATGGAGGAGGAGCTTCAGAATGTGACTGGGGCAGGATTTACAACCATTCTTTCTGCCCCTTGGTACCTGGACTACATTAGCTATGGACAGGACTGGCAACACTACTACAAAGTTGAGCCACTCAATTTCCCTGGTCAGTTTCTCCAGTCAAATTCTAATTTTGTTTATTTTAGCAGCACTAGTTTACTAATCTAGTGGTTTAAAACGCAGTCATTTAGAAACTCTAGTTATTCAGTGTTTACACATGTATTGACCATTGAATTATGTGATTGGTTTTGATATGTCTGGTTGGCAACTTGGGGTTAAAGTCAGTTTTAGAGTTTCAATCAAATATGGTTATTACTACCCTTTTCAATCACTATACCTTTTGTTACATTTCAAAAACCTGGTTTTTGCCCTAAAATAGCCATGGAAGTGGACATGGTATTGAATCACAAACAAGCTTGGGGGTTGAGGCTGTGGTTTGAGTAGAGATGGTTCATTGAGAAACCCCTCCATTGTAAAGGAGGATATATGCGCTTGTCATCAACCATATATTAATTATATAGAATTTCCTGTCATTTCTGGATTATTATTGTAGTGTTCAGATGTGATCCTGTCAGTCTGGTTCTGGCTCTTGGTGTTGCTTGTCACTAGTACGTTGTCATGTCTACGTAATGTCAATGTGTTTGACCACTCCTGATCAACTCTGAGCTGCTGCCACATCTCGAGTTCAGTTGTTGAAGACACTGCAACAACATATTCCCAAATATTTCGGAAAGCACGTGTTCCAGCAAGTGTCACTCTAAATACACTACCCTTCAAAAGTTTGGGGTCGGTAAGGTTTTTTTTTTTTTTATGTTTTAATGTAAAAGTCTCACAAAGGCTGTTTATTTGATCTGAAATACAGTAAAATATTAATATAGTAATATTGTTAAATGTCAAGATCATTCAGAAGTCTATAAATAAAAAGTTTTAAGGAACAGCATTTACTTAATTTTTTACTGTCACTTTTGATCAGTTTAATGTGAATTTGCTGAATAAAAGAGTAAATTTCTTAAAAAATAAATAAATAAAAAAATTCTTAGTGGCCCCAAACTTTTGAATGGTAGTGTATGCTTTGCCATAATTCCTCCTCCACCTTGCTCCAGCTTTGTAAAATCAATACACTAATATCAATCACTGCTAAAAACTTCTACCTCGTTCTTCTTAGATGTTACTGTATAGAATAATGGTTAACTGTTGTCAGCATCAGCATAGCAGTGATATGAAAAGCCATGTTTCTGAATGACAGAACCTAGTGATGCCATGTAGACAGAGAAGGTTTAGAGGCCATTAACTAATGATCTAATGAGAAAGCAAGACATGTTGAGTCACAGCTAAGCATCTGAACTTTCAGAAAAACGACACAAAATGGATATATTTCTCTGGACTACATTCAAGATCTAACATATTACAGTTTTTGATGTAGTGTTTGACAATTTTTAACTTTTAAGATTAAATATTGATTGCATTTTATTTGGATGTGCCAATATTGATAACCAAAAATTATTTTTTGTTACAGCTGATTTTGAAAAATATTGTACATCCATATTTTTTGTCACTTTAAAATCAACTATGTTCAGTTCTTTCAGAGCTACTAGCGACTAGATCTGCATAAATGTGCAATCTCCGCTTGGTATCTTTGACAAAGTACATCTGAATGAAGCATGAAAAGCCTCACAGAGACCTTAAATGGAGTCCAGAGGGACATCCACATGTTGACGTCTGTTCGTTTGTGTGTTATACATGTGTCTGTATTTGTACACATGTAGCTGAAAGCCGACACACAGATCCATGTGTGGAAAGGCAGGCCGCAGTACCAGGATGAGATGGCGCAGGTCACGGCGGCTGGTTTCAATGCTCTGCTCTCCACACCCTGGTACCTCAACCGCATCAGCTACGGCCAAGACTGGGTGAACATTTACAAAGCCGACCCCCAAAATTTCACTGGTGTGTGTCATTCGCAGATAAAGTCTATGTGGATATGGGCCTCTGTTTCTGTTTGATTTGTGTTTCTCCTAAATTTGCACAACATCTCAAGGTTTAGAGTACAAAACAATGACTGTTGATTATGCAATACATGATGTTGTGAGGTATGTTGTAGTTGACCTCTAAGAGTTGAGAAGTCTGTCTGTCTGTTAATGGATGAATCTGGTGAATTTTCTTGTTTATTGTAACCAAGGTTGGTACGAGTGGTTTTAGGTTTTGAAGGTCAGCTACACTGATTCAAAGGCAACATATTTAAGTGGTGAAGGTGGCATGCGATTGTATGGAGTCATTTACATCTGATATTCTCATATCCTTAAATTAACGAGCATCATCATTTTTTCGGTCCAAAGCTCTGTCAGCAATGACGTTGTCAGGGACCTGTTTGCATTTGGATATGCAAACAAACATGCTTATGTGACCATGGAACTTTGCACACACTGACAGTTATGCGTCTATTCAGTCACGAACCATGCAGTTTAAATGGTTTGCTTTGTCTGCAGGTATTCAGATATAGGAGTGTTTGACACACAGATCACTCAAACAGGATCAACTCTTTGCTTTGAGGGACCGCTTTTTGTACAATGTTATATTAAATGTTACTGTTTTTGCTGTTGTTTATAACTACAGGCACAGATGCACAGAAGAAGCTGGTGATCGGTGGAGAGGCTTGTCTTTGGGGAGAGTATGTGGATGCTACCAACCTCACTCCTCGACTCTGGTATGATATATCACTCAACTGTACCAACTACACCAAGACAAACCATTATACATGTTGTGTAATCATGTTACTAACACGTGGTTAATTAACTGCATCTCCTATCATGTAATAAAAGTAAAAGCTAAAGTTAGGAGTTTGTGCCAAAACTGAAACCAAACCTAGTATTTATTTAGAATTATGTAAATGAACTGTTTTTGTTTTTTTGTGCCGTTGCAGGCCAAGAGCCAGTGCTGTCGCTGAGAGGTTATGGAGTGATAAAAGTGTGACCGATGTGGATAATGCCTATAATCGTCTGGTCCAGCATCGCTGCCGCATGGTCAAGTGAGTTAAACTATGACAATGGCAAATTCATTAATGCAGTGGTTCTCAGTTCGAGTCTTGGGGACCCCCTGCTCTGCACATTTTGCATGTCTCTCTTATTCAGTTCAGTTCATGGAGTCTCTTCTAACGAGCTGGTGATCTGAATCAGGTTTGTTAAATAAGGGAGACATGCAAACTGTGCAGAGCAGGGGGTCCCCAGAACTCGGAACTAGTGGATTAATGCAATCTCACCTTATTTGATTAATCAATCATTTCAATTATTTATTTATTTAATGTATGTAAGAATCATGATGCTCAGCAGTGGAGTGGCCTCACTAAACTCTAATGTCCTTGACTTTTGGTTAATTATAGATTTATTTATTTATTACAATATCATTGATTTTTAATTATTTTTTGAAGGCAGTCTGTTCTGGGTTGGTTGGGGGGATTTTGAAAATGTAAAAAGTATTCAATATAGTCTTTGTACAAATAACTGAATTTGCTTTTGCAAATAAAATTTGCACAGGCATATTTCTCGTATGTTTCATTGGTGAAAGTGATATTTTTCCCTTTTTCGCCATCAGGAGAGGCATACCTGCAGAACCTCTATTTGTTGGCCACTGCCGTCAGGAGTACAAGGGCCTATGAACTTCAACATTCAGCTGACAGACAATTAAAGGGAATAATAGGACAACACTTTTTAAAAGATAAAACCATGTTATTGATTCCAGTAACTATGCTTTGCTGTTGTATGCACTGAGCCAGATACTGCCAGAACTTGATGTTTTTGATTACTGGTTTTTATTATTAAATGGACAGTTCTGTACATCTGGATTTTCTCTGTAGGCTTAAATTGGATTAAATTGTAATTAATGTTCTTGTGAATAAATTGTATGGAATTTGAAGTTTTGAAATAAGGTCTGCTTTTTAATTATTTCCCAAGGCTAGGTATGTTGTAAGGGTTTTATAAATGAAATACATATTTAAATAAAACATTTATGAATGTATTGTTCTTATAAAATTATGGGTATTTTGTATGTACATATACACACAAACAACAGTAAGCATGTTTTACCTTACACTGAGAAATAAATCCAATTAGGTCTCTGGATGTGGGCTGAGCAGGGTATGTCCATATGTAGGCTAGTCTCCAAGATTTATCTTCTGGGCCATATGTAAGCAGCCAATCACAGAGCAATCAAAATATGTGTCAGTATAAATGCTCAGTTCAGTTGGTGACAGTTACTGCTTCAAGCCAGTCCAGCCATCTTGTTGAGCAGTATATTCTGGTCCTGAGTGTTCATGGGCTCATAGCTGGATAGCTCCAGAGAAAAGGTGGCATTCCCAGAAGTCAAAGTGCGCAGAATGGTTGAGCAGCCCTTGAGGCAAAAATAAATAAAACTCGTATTCCCTACATAGTTCCCCTTTTTGTATAGTAATCATGTGGTGAGACTTAAATTGTATTGGCCTTATTATACATAGAGATCATATAATGTCAATGTAACTTGATGCAGTAGAATTGTGCAATTACTGACACGTGTGTCATTGTAATATTTTTAGTGAAAGACTCACCATCATCTCAGCCAAAGGTATTGTAGCCAGCAAAACCTTGTTTTCCTGTCGACTTTGGATGTCGCATACAGTACCACGTCGCTGGGCGAGATCTGCAAGCACAGGACTCAGATACTCTTCCCCTACAGTCACTTCCAGAGCCATCACCGGCTCCAAAACCTGCCCTCCAGCCAGCTTCAGAACCTGACACAGAAAGACATGAACTCAGATGTGGCAACATATTAAAAAGTGACTGTGGGAAAGACACAGGATAGTGTTTGAGTACCTTGTGCATGCAGCGGGACACGCAGGCTGAAACCGTGGCTGCAGAAGTGCCTGGCTCCAAACTCACATGCTGGATAACTGTCTTTACTCCCTGTACAGGAAAACCCAGCACAGGACCTGGAAAGGAAGTTAGATTACCAACAGCATATGGCTGACAAGGACATCAGATTTATAGACTCAAATGTACTGCAATACTGTAGCAGGATGATATGGATGTGATGAATGATTTAGGCATAAAAGCTTTAAAGCATCCATTACCTTGGAGGTAGGCGCTCTGAACTCCGTTTTCCACAGCTTCTTTGACAACAGCAGGGAGCCGAGTATTTCCTTCCTCCTCAAAAGTCACGTCACAGGAAGTGCTAGACTCCTTCATCAGAGCATGGACAGCAAGCTCCACAGTAACAACATGCCTCTTGTCTCCCAGAGTACGATCTAACGTGTCTGAAATGATCATACAAATCATACTGGAATTTCCTAATACTTGACTACTCAAAATAAATACTGCATTATTTGATATTATAATCCATTTTAGCATTACAATTTATTCTGTGTAGAACTATAGGAATGTTGGTTTCTTACCATTTCTTCATCTATTCATTTTATACAAAAATGAAAACATAAAAAAAAAATCCTACCAACCCCAGACTTTTGAACCTACACTAAAACGGGGCATGTGACTGATCATATAAGTTGTTTTATTTTATGCCTATTTTTTTAACATGGACAAAATATATTGTAACCATAAGTCGCACTGGACCATAAAACAGTAAAGCAGACAAACAAAACAGATGAACTGTTATTAAGAAAAAGTTCTAATGTTTCTTCGTAATATGATTTTAACAGAGGTAGACTACCATATAAAGCATGAGGGCAGAGTTTGCACTTGCCTCACCTGTGGCAGTTGCTGATTGGAGGATGGTCTCTCTGTAGGCCACCTGCAAGGGTCCTAGGTGAGTTTCGATGTTGTGCTCTCTCTTAATACGGTCATGGATGATCTCAATGTGTAGCTCTCCCATGCCACACAGTATTGTCTGTGCATAAACAAGTGAAAAAATACATTGCAGAGCAGGAGAATGAGAAAGAGAGATTACAATTAACATTTTTTTTCCCTGTTATTGCTTAATCTAGTTGCTGCTAGGGCATTGCTAGGTCACTAGGGTGTTTTGGGCAATCGCTTACTCCCAAATCTATGATATTCTGGTTACTATATATATTATGACTTGGGTGCTTCCTTCTCCTCAACACAAGATTCAAGGTATTTGATGTCCATAGCACAAATGGTGCAGGATGGGTTGTGTGTCACAATGTAATACTTTAAGACATTTTTTCAAAGCACTAAGCTTAAAGGGTTAGTTCACCCAAAAATGAAAATTAGGCTGCGTTTTACTCACCCCCGAGGCATCCTAGGTGTATATGACTTTCTTCTTTCAGACGAATCCAGTCGGAGTTATATTAAAAATTGTCTTTGATCTTTCAAGCTCTATCATTGCAGTCAGCGGGTGTTGCATTGCTTCAGTCCAAAAGAAGTTAAATAAAAAGCACCCATCCATAAAAAAAAAAAAAAGTCTCTCACACGGCTCTGGGGGGTGAACAAAGGCCACCTGTAGCGAATCGATGCGTTTTTGTTAGAAAAATATCCATATTCAAAAAGTAATCACTTTAATCTAACAAAATTTGAAATTAAAACATCTTAAAATAAATCTTGGGTCATAATGGAAAAGTCAAGAAATTCAAGAATCTGTTGTCAAAATTCCTTTTTGTTAACACCATAGTAATTTTCTTTCTATTGTTTTATTTATTTAAGCAAACTTTTGTAATTTTTCCACGACAAATGGAAGAGCAAGTAAAAAGCTGCAAAAGTAACAAAAGATTCATAAGTCTTTTTTTTTATGAGAATTGTGAAAATCTGGCATTGGGTCTTTGTCACTGATAACTAACTGCATACAAGTCAGACATCAAAAAGGGCACATTTTCACTGAACCTACGTTCCGTTCCTGTTTATGTTGTACACTGCCGACTGAGCCTTCATGCTTCCTGAATAGATCCTAACAAACACGAGTGGACCCCTCTGTTTGTCATGGACCACTTTGAATGCCAACGCACACAGATCATCCTTATACCAGCGCCTGGACAGATAGGAACAAATATACATTTAATCATAGCATGATTTATTCTCCTTTAGCAAAATGAGTTGATGAGGGCGCTGACGGATGGTGCCCTCACACCAGGTCATGGTTCCTCTCATTGGGGGCAGGAAGGTAAGCAGTAATGTCATCCAGCAGAGGTTGAACCCCTTTATTTTTCAGAGAGCTTCCAAACAACACAGGAACTCCCTTACGAGCTAATGTCACTCGTCTCACTGCCTCCTGCAACTGGATATTCAGATTCAATTCTGTTTATTCAATAGCCAAATGTATCTGAACCAATAGAGAAAGAAACCTGGAGCACAGTATAGAGAAGCTGCATATTCTTACCTCCCCTGCAGGCACTGCATCAAAGTTTTCACTGTACTGTCCCCGAAGCAGCTTCGCAAAATCATCATTTAGATCTGCTACCTGTCCAATTCATACAAAAAAGTTCAGCCAAAAATGTTAATTCTGCCATCACGAACCACAAGTCATTCTAAACCTGTAACACAATAGAAGACGCCTTAGCTTTTTTTTTTCTCCATACAATTAAAGCCAGTGGGGTCCATTGTTGTTTGGACACATTTTTCAGAATATCTTTTGTGTTCCACAGAGAAATGAATCATACATAAAAGAGAGCAAATGATGACAGAATCATAATTTTTGACGTATCCCTTTAAGAACCTACTGTACTCGAGATGTGGCAAATAACAATAAATGTATCAGTATTTATTCTATTGTTTTCAGATATTTTTTTTTCACCTGTTCTATCAAAGTGGCCTGGCCTCACTGACAGCCTGGAGCACATCTGGGTCATCTGTGGGCTGAAGGGTGCTGGTCTCAAAAGTACAACCATCATATGTAATTGAGCTCCCCTGCCACTTCATTTTCTGCCTAGTGATCAAGTCCACCAATCCGGTAAAGCTCTTCCCTGAGCCAATAGGGGTTCTGGAAATCACACTAAATATTCAGAATGAATCTTTTCATTGGTAACTGTAGTTGGTTACTATGTTTAAAAAGGTCACCTGAAGGAGAACAGGGTTGGCCTTTAGTTTAGTCTTTATGACGTCTATAGAGTAACTCAGGCTAGGAGAAATGAGAATGAGATGAAACCTTAGTGAACGGCAGTCATTCATTCAGATCAATAACACATGCAAATTTTCAGACAATGTGTTAATGGATTCTCTAAATTTAAGTGAGATTCTGAGAAATGAGCAAAACATTTTTGTGTATTATATATATTCACAGAAAATATTTTGGCTTTACAATTAATTGTATTATTAATTCAAATACAATAATAATTCATATACATTAATATAATTAATAATTTACTTATGATTTATTATGTTCACAAATAATTTCTGCCAAACCTCTACTCCAGCAGAAGCATCAAACACAGCAACCGCTCCATCCAACACTCGTAATGCTCTCTCAACCTCCAGAGTAAAATCAACACGACCTGAGAAAAGAAAGATAATTCATTATGATTGTATATAAATATATATATATATCTATCTATATATCTATCTATATATATATTTACATATAATTTTGAGAGAAATTAACTGTCTTTATTCTTTTATTCTATTTGTGAGCATGCAAAACTTCTTTTAAAAAACATTTTAAAAATATATATATATTGTACCCATCCCAAATTTGTGCACTATGTCTCTTGCCCTGCATTGAATACAACACTGTTTGGACACACATGTACCTGGTGTGTCTATGAGGTTAATCCTGCGATCCTTCCAGTCAAAGGTAACAGCAGCTGACTGGATGGTGATTCCTCTCTCTCCCTTCTCCTGAGCCATGTAATCAGTTACAGTGTCACCATCATCCACATCTAAACAAGACCAATCACACAGACACTTATATCATAGAAAACAAATATTAAAGGATGTGTATTAAACTGCTCAAACATGTTATTTCAGTATTATTTATGTACTATATTATTTATTAATATTTTGAATCGGATTTTATTTTATATTTTAAGTTTTCAATTGAATTCAAATTTTAGTAATTTAG